TTCTGTTGTCTAAGTATAATACTATTTGTGATATGTGAACGAGAATATATATATATGTTTTTCTTATATAGAAATTACACTTTCTACAAAAGGTAAGGAATTAAATACCATGAGGCATAATTTATATATGTGCATTCCTTTTTTTTTTTTTAGCATGATGTTTTGCGTAGTTCTACTTTTGATTTTGCATTTCTACATAATAGTGTAATACTCCACGGAGATTGCTTCGTTCTAAAGCATCGAAAAGAGCTGATTCTGCTTTTTCTTACATTTATCCATGTAGAAATTATAAGGACTTTCCTTGAAACATACTTTTTGGAGAAGATTACTAAAAAATTGAAAAAAACAATGATGGAAGGTTACAAGCTTTAAGTACAAGTGATTAATAATATAGTACACCAATTCGTATTTTTCCCCATTTTATTAATGTTTATAGTTGTTTAAATGGGAATTTGGTATTATGCAAATGTGAACTAATGGCTTTGCTCCCAATTTTTCAATTAGTTTAGTGTTAAACGTGAAAGGAACCAGGGAGTTAAGGGTAAAATTAAGAAAAATAAAAAAAACTTAAAAATCACATACAGGACTAAGTGTAACTGTAGCAGGGTGCGGGGTTAGGGTTTTAGGGGTTTAGGATTCCATTGCTCAGGGTTCAAGGAATAAATGGCCCCAGAAAAGGTGCGCTATATATATTGCTCTCTAATACAGAACAACGCGATGTTTATTTTAAAACATTGTAATAAAAAATGTTCAGAATGAAATGGAAACCCTGTGAAGTGAGAACGTTCATATTTCACAAAACCAGATAAGCATAGAATAAGAATACATGATATATGAAATTATATACTTATTTACATTAAGAATATTCCTGTGGAATATTTCGTGGAAGCTTACAAGCATAGCGCACAAGTGGAATTTTAGATTACATGTCTCGGCTGTTACCTTTTATTGTTGTAAGTGGGCTTTTTTAATGTATCGAAAATGCGTGGGCTACAAGTTGGAGTTTGAATTTTATTCATGGTGGAAGTGTTCTTTTTTTTTTGTGTTTTGGATATTTTCTTATCAATTTGTTTCCTGCATTTATTACTTTACTAAAGGTTATGCGTTCTTTACAATATTTACTGTGTTCTTATTTTATTTAAAACATATGTATTAATGAAAATGAGGATTTCATTTATGAACAGAGAGCAAATATTTTTTTATAGAGGAGTAATTTTTTTTTAACTTCACTTTTTCCTTTTTTTTGTATTAGAGGAACCGGAATATAATATATGCGCAAGGGTATTTGTGTATGCCGTGTGTTATTTAAAAAAAAAATATTAGATGTACCGAAGTGTATTGGTACAAACAGCAGAACTCAGGGCTATAAATTTTTTTCTTTTGTATTTAAAATGAAAAATATCTAATGCATTTATGCCTAAAAGGACAAGGGTTATTTTAAGCCATGCATAAATATTAATTCTATCATGTTTGTACTTGTTCTTGGTTTCACGATGGTTTCAATGGGGTTTAGGATTTAGGGCCTTTTTTTTATTCTTTTTTTTTTTCATTTTTTTCGAAAAATAATAAATCATTTCATTTACAGCAGTATATGCATACGACTGTAGAATGTATACCATCATACATTCATATACTGTACACTCTGTGTACGCATGTATCTACTATATTGTGTCGCACGAGCCCAACCTCAGTTGGCTCCAATGTACAATGTATCCGCATATAGGGATGCACGTCTCTAGTAGTTATTATTTTGTTCTTTGTAGGGAGTAACATCCACATAGTGTACAGTAAGTTAGAGTTCCTTATGCGAACATGGGACGGAGCAGTGGAATGGCGAATGGCAACGGTTTTTGGTCCATTTTCCACTCGGTATCCCTTGTAGTATGTTCGTTGTGGCTGTACTTACCTTCCATAGGAAAAGGGCAATAAGCCCAATACCAACCACCGCTGGAATGATCGCGGGGGTGTAGGGGATGAGATCCTTGGGGTCGAATGGTTTCGGAAGGACAGCGCCGGTTAGGTCGGGGGGCGTGGGGCCACTGTGCTTAGGTCGACTTAGAATTTCATCATGTGCATTGGACGGTGTGAAGGGATTAATGGGTGCCGCGTTTGGCCCATATGATCCCCCTGCATTACCACGTCCTGGGAGGGAAGTGTCCGGAGCATTCTTACGGCTGTCATTCTTGTTTGAACCTGGCGCACCCAGGAAGGACGAAGGCGGATCACTTGTTCCACTACCTCCGCCACTACCCGAAGTTGGTCCCCCTATGCCCCACAGACTGGTCGTTACGGAGAATTCATCCGGATCCGCAGCCTTTGTCCCAGGATCTCCGTCTTCACCACTTTTGCCGCGCGACCCCGCCTGATCGGGGTTCGTGTTCGGTTTTGGTTTGGGCGGATTGAGAGGAGGGGGGTCATCGTTGCCGCTGCCATCGACGGGGGCATCCGCACCGTGCGCTTTTCCATCCTTCTCAGGTGCAGCAGGTTGCCCCGCTGGATCAGGAGGGACAGCGGATCCCCCTTCTGGTCCACTGGAAGTTGATGTTGTTGGTTCTGGTTCTGGTGGTGGTCTCCGTGGCGTCTGTTCTGAGGACGGGGATTTGCTCTCCTGCTGGTCTGGACTCTTGGGCTTGTCATCAGTTTTATCTGTAATTTCGAATAGGGGCAACAGAAAAGAATATGCAAGCAAGTGCAGTTCGTGGTCGATGGTGGGCCACATGATTGACTACACGATTGTTGCGGTGCATGGCTGATGGTCATGGTTGGTGCCATGCGCGGTCGGCACCATTGGTGCCACGGTGCGAACGGTGGTTGGCTGGTGCCACTCCGGGAAAAGACTCTCTCTCTGTCTCCCACACAACACACACAGGGTGTGTGTACCTGTCGACATCCACGCCTGTCGACGTCTCTACGACGCTCTACCTGCCGCGGCGGTAACTCGACCTCCCGCGGCCGACCCGTTGCTCGGCCGATCCCTGTGTCCCGCTCACTCTCATTCGACGTTTGGTTTCGCTCGCTGCGTGGTGTGTCGCCTGCTGCGCGAGACGTTCGAGATGCGGTGCTTTTGTTTTTTTTGCGTGTTTTTTGTTTTTGTCCCCTATGCAATGATCTACGCCGTGTGGTGCATAAGTATGGTACACTCTTTTAACCTGAAGGATCCTTAGTGGACGAAGGATTCTCGTCTTTACCGTACTTATGTAATATTTCTTTAGGGGGTGCCCGGCTATCATAAGTACCAGCCACGACAATACTGGTGCCGCCAGAACTACCTGGTACAGCCCACTTACCTGGACCAGGTTCTTGAGGATCCTGTCCGCTGCCTGCTGCTGGTGGTAGAGCTGAGTCGGGTGGTGTGGGTCCCTGTGATTCTGTATCACCTTTGGCGTTTGCATCACCCTTTCTCCCTAGTTCTGCTCCTCCTGGTGGTCTTGCTGGTAATACTGGGGATGCCGGTGCTTGTGGTTGTGATCCTGGTTGCGATGGCGGCAACGACTTGCCTCCTGCGGTATCCCCGAGTTCGGGTCCTGCACCTGGTTTACCTAAGAGGGGGAACGGAACAACAATAAGACAGATGATACAAAACAGGACACAAGTGTTAGACATGGCGGACGGTGCGGTCAGGTAGCGGCCGGGTCGACTCGGTGGACTGCGTACTCGGTGAACTGGGATGGCTCGATGGTAGCAGTACAACTTTTATTTGTCGCCGTCATCTCGTCCGCCGTCCCGCTGCATCCCTCATCTCGTCTCCGGTGCCTCGTCGCCGCTACATGCGCCGTCGCGTATACGGCTACCGCTACCGATGCCGTCGTCGTCGCACACTCGGCAATTGTACGTTCGCCGCGCAACGTCAGTACGGATTTGCTGTTCTCGCCGCGTGTGCGTGTTGATGTGGCGGCATCCATATGCGGCAGTATGATCCCGTGTTCGTAGCCGCCGTATATTCGTACTGGGTGTCGTCGTGCTAAACGTATTCGGATTATGTGTATTCTTAGTGTTCTTATTATTCTTATCCTTACCTGCCCTTTCCTCATCCTGCTTTTCCTTAATTTTCTGGTACACTATCTTTGTAACCTCTTCAAAAGCTTTCTTCGTCTGCGTCCTTACTTTTTCCTCCGTTTGCTTTACCTCAGGCAGCTTCTTGCTAATGTCGTTGACTGTGTCTGTAACACCCTTACGTGCTATATACCTCTTCCACTCCATAGCGCACGGCGCGCTGCCCTGCATGTGTCCAATTTGGTCCATGAGTCTTCCTTCCCGCAGTAACCATTCTGCCATTTCTCCATTTACTACTCTTACAGTCGCTCCTTTAGTACCATACCCACATTCTGTGCATGTGCCCTGTATAACAGGACCCTCTATCCCGTCCCCGCGCGTGCTGCCCTCTCCCATTCCTTGTACTGTTTTCCAGGCATACTTTATACCCCTTCTCCACTTTGTCTTATGTTCACAATACTTGTGTTCCAGTATATACCCAAAGGCATTCGCTATCTCACATCTTAGCCTCTCCTCCGCTTCATCCATGGTTTTACTGGTCCCTTGTATAGTGCTGCCTTCTATGTTGTACCCGTTTGCGAAGAATAATGCACCCGTCATGAGTTTGCACCGTATGACGTCTGCTACTGTTTGGCCCATGTAATAGACGTCCGGGTTGTCTATGTCATTCCAACCGGTATTATAACAATTCGCGCCTAAGGCATCCAGTGTGCCCTCTTTATCTTCCATGTAATCGATAAACCTCTGCAACACGTCCTTCATTCTTTCCAGTTCTTCAGTCTGTATTATTTGCATAACAATAAAAAACTACCTATATTCACATTTTACCTATACTCTCCCTCTCAGAACCAAGGACACACTCATAGATGCATGTACCCCATAAATAAATTCTCTGGCGCCTGATTTCTCCTGCCTGCTATTCCTGCTTGCCCTGTAACTTACATTATAATTCTGCACGACGTATACTTGCCTTCTCTTGTCGTTCAATATGGGCTGCCATTCACAATCGTCTTCTGTGGTCGTCCCCGATGACGATGGTGTCTGCGGTTTCGACGTCGCTACTGGTGTGGTAGCGTTTCCGTCGCTGTCGACCGGCGTGGCTGGTGCTGGTTTGGCAGGGGCGGGGTTGGCGACGTTGGACTTCGCACCGGGTTGGGCGGCGGGGTCATTCTTCGGTAGTGACTTCTTCGGTTGCTGCACCTTGGGTATGTTCACGTCCGGCGGTTGCGGCCGTGTTGGTGCTTTCTCCTCTCGGTCCTTACCTGCCGGTGCGTGTGGTGCAGGTCCTAGGTCTACCGGGGTTCCGGATGATGATGGTGGTGTTGTGGCCTGTGGCCCCGGTGACCCTGCAGCCTGTTGTACTCCTGGAGTCCTTGAACGTGATGTCGCGTGCTCCTGTTTCTTCTGCTCTAATATACGTTTTACACATGTCTTATCTGTACACGTTCGTACCTGCGGCAATATTTCCTCCACTTTCCGTGTCATATCGTCCCCAACTTTGTTCATTTTATCGATTATTTTCTGTTTCACGTCGCCCACTTCTTTTGTGCCCGCGTCCTTTCTTGCTGTTCTATCCACTTTACACTCCCTCCCTAATACTCCCCAGTCCCCATCGTGCAGCTTTAATTGATTCCTCTCAAACCACCTGGTCATTATTTGCCAAAAAGTTCTATCTTTCGCCTTTACCCCTGGTATTCCCCCCTCCCCTGCATCTTTCTCTTCGCATGCAATATTACCAACCTTCATGTTTATGAAACCTTCCAAAACTCCATCCGCTAAACTGAATGCAAACTGTCCACCTGGTCGGTTTAAACAATTCATGCCCATGATTTTTTTCATGAATATATTTACTAGGATACATCTCATATAGAGATCTATCTGCTTTGTTTCTTCGTCCGTGTAATCGGCCCTTGGGGGGGCTCCTGCTAAATCAATTCCATGTTTAAAATGTAATGCTTTCAGTGTTAACTCACATATAGCACTTTCCTTTTCGTCTCCTGTTCCATTATTCTCTGTTCCTAGGTGCGCATCACACAAGCCTTTCATTGTCCCCGTGTCATCCGCTTCCATATATTTGCGGAATTCTGCCCATACTGTCCTTACATGGTTCCAGAAAAGTTCCTATGTGTATAATATTTAGTGCAGATACTTATAAAGCATATTCCTGCTTTCACTTCTGCTCACTGCGCAATACTGCGCATACATACACATTTTCTCCTATACCAATGCCCTCCCTCCTACGGCAAACATTGCAGCCAGTAACATTAGGTTATGTGGCCCCGTTAATCAATGCTCAAATGTGCTCTACAGCGCGCGCACATTATAATTCAGCTATTAACTTTGATACTCCCGTATACATGAACTTACTTGAAATGTCTTATTTCCCTTCACTCCTGTGTCCCCCTTCGCAATATAATCATCCCACAGTATTATTAAATAATCCCACATGGCTCTGCCGCTATTTTAGTTTTATATAGGATGACACTCTGCTCGATACTTATTCAATGTCCACTTAATTTTAACATTATCCTTCGGACCTATATGCCTTTATGAGGAATTGCTGTCATCACATACTCAGAATAATTCTCCCCCACTAAAATCCTTAACCACAATACTCTCCTTAACAACAAACACCACTTGCAAGACAAGTACCCCCCTTAACAACAAATACCCGCCCTTAACAACAAATACCCCCCTTAACAGCAAATACCCTCTTCACACTGGCTCTGTGTGCGTACAACTAAAAACCGCAGTAAAACAACAACATCAACTCGTCCTTCTTCGTGCTGCCGTCATTGCTGCCGTCGTGGCCGCTGTGCTCATGGCTCAACCGAAGTGGGGGTACCGAAGTCGTTTGCTGTGCTGTTCCGTCGCGTGTGCGTTGTCGTGGCCGTTTGCCCTGCTGTTCCGCCGTGTGCGTTGTTGTTCGCGCGTGGGTGTTGTTGTGGCGGCGGCATCCGTGCGACGTCGTACGGTCCGTATACGCGCCGTGCGGGGCGTATGCGTATTAGTATTCTTACGAATCGCATGCTTGCTGCCCTTACCTGCTCCTGGTATCTCTGGCGTTGAGCTTGTTTTTTCAATTACGTCTTCCTTCATCTTGTCGAATACTTCCGTCACCACGTTCACTATTTCTTTTCCAATGCCACCAGTACCCATGGCACCTGCCCCTTTACCCACTTTCCCTGTTGTTGTTGGTAATGCATCTGTTCTTGACTGGTTGCGTGGACAGTTCTCATTTCCATGCAGTTTCCTCAGTTTGGTCCATAATTCCGTATTGTGCGATAACCACGCATCCACGGCTTTGCTAATCTGTCCGCTACCTATTGTTAATCCGTGCCAGCCGGTCTTCTCGCATATTCCGGTTGCAAGTGCGCCCGCACCTGGTGTGAGCGCGAACCCGGCATCTACCCTCGTCGTGGCCGTCCACGCATAATTTATGCCTGTCGACGTATCCGCACACGGTGTATGTGTTAAGATACTTGCAAATACATGCATCACCATGCACCCTAAAATTTGTCTCATGTCCTTATCACCTTCATTCCTGGTGTCTCCAAGCTGCCCTCCGGCGCGTATCGTACCCATGAACGTTAATGCAGCGGACATGATCTTGCACGTGACCTTGTCTTGCTCCGTAAAATCTTTGAAGAAAGCACGACTGCCGTCCCTATAATCCCACCAGACATTATTACAGTTGGCACCCAGATCCTCTATTAGATCCTGAGCTGCCATATTTTCCATATGCTGTACAAATTCCTGCAATAGTCCCTGCATAATACTCCATAGCCCCTCCTACAGTGAATATATGGAACAACTTGAACGAGTATATATAAACGCTAAACTGCGGGTGTCCCCTGTACCGCATGTTTCCCCGTTGACAGAAGAATGTTCTTGATGCAAATCCGGCGCTCCCTGTACTCCTACTCATGCAAACTTACGTCAAACTCAGTCGGCGTGAACCTGCGTTCCTGCCGTGCCCATATTGCCAATACATGTGCAATGAATACCTCCACAGGCGTATAGTTCTGACTCTGTGAACTCATTTTTCATTCGTCATCAGCAGAAAAATGCCTGAACCTGTTATTAAGGTTTTCATGTGTCCCCTTAATGCTGTAGAAATCCTGAACTTCCTATTCCGATGGTTCTTTTGTGGGCCACGTCCTACGTGTGACTGGTTTCCGCACATAATAACCTTTCTATGTGCTTGACAACAGGTAGGAGCTGCAGCGACACTTGTAAAATATATTTTTATAATACACAAGGAAAAGGAAGACCCTGCTGTTGTTGCCCTTAATTCATATTAAGCTTTAACAAAATGTTGCCTATATAAATGCCCATTGTACATTAGGTAATATCTAACATTCTACAAGAACAAAAAAGACGGAAAATAAGACATATGTAAGAAGAATAAAAAGCAAAGAGAAAAGAATAAAAATAAAAAAAATAAAAAACAAACAAGGGCAAGAAAAAAATTGAAAAAGTACACTGCCTACACACACAACGCGTCATGAATGTACACCGCCACGCCCGTTCTACACCGGTCTACACTAAACCCCTTCACACACACTGTGTCTCTGTGTGCGTACACAAAAAAACCGCAGTAAAAACAACAACATCAATACTTCTTCCGTAGTTGCCGCCGTCCTGCCGTCGTGGTCGCCGTCCGTCCCGGGGCTACTTGGTGGAATCGTTTACTCGAACGCCGTAATCGAACCGCTTCACTCGACTACTTCGTCGAATCGGTCTTGCACATGGCCGCGTTGGTCGACGCGTTTGCGCGGAGAGACAATGTTCCCCTCCCTCTTACACTCGACTACTTCGTCGAATCCGTCTTGCACGCGGACCGATCCGTGTACACGATAGCGTTGCTCGGAGAGACAATGTCTCCCTCCTTTCTTACACTCGGCTACGTCGTCGAACCGCGTTTGCTCGGAGAGACCATCCTCCTCCTGCTTACCCTCGGCTATTTCCTCGGACAATGTGCTTTACGCGGCCGCGTGGGTCGACGCGTGTGCTCGCAGAGACAATCGCGCCTCCGTCTTACACGCGACGACAATGCGGTTTACGCGGCCACGTTTGCTCGGAGAGACAATCTCTCCTTATACTCGAATGCGTAGTCGCATTCTATATTAGTGCTACTCTACACCATTAGAATGCACTTGCTCATGTGTTAATAATTAACTTCCCATAAAGGAGAATACTACCGCGTCATAGGATTCATGTAAATCTACATTTTATATGCATGTAACCGTTACCACCCTGTCCCCATGGTCATGTTAAAAGAAGTGGACTACACAGAAAAAGAACAAAACAAGGCAAAAGTAAGCAGAACAGAGCAGAAGAGAGCAGAAAAAAAAAAAAGAAGGTATAGAATAATGCAAACAAGAAATATATTATGTTTATCACATAATGAAGTAAAAGTGGTGTACGGTTAGCATGCGTTATGTCGCATACATATGCCCCGTCATGCGAATGTCAGAGCTTCTGCAATAGGTCATCCACATATAACTCCGTCTCCTGCATACTTCTCTCGAGCTCGCAGTCTTCGATTACGGATGCGAGGAGGAGCATCCATAATTTGGCTATTAGGTGTTTCTTGTTGTAGTATTGCTCATGCAGTGGTTGGGACTCTGGTAAATCTCTGACTATCAGTATATCTTCTGCTGTCATTACATGGTCCACTTCTACGTCTTTTTCGACTCCAGGTACTTCGCCGTTTTCCGGTACTGTCTGCTCCTCGATATTTTCTAACAAATGTTGGAACCACTCCTCCTCACCATATATATTCATAAGGTCATGTTGTTGTGCAACCCATTGTCTCCACAAGTCCAATTTCTTCATCGGCACGGTTGCCGCCATGTGATCACGCAGGTATTTTTTCCATTCCGCTTTTAATTGCAGAAACCATGGCTGCGTCGTGCAGTCCTGCAATAGATGCCTGTTGCGGTCAATCCAGGTAATCCAATTAGTGTGGTCGGGGGTCGCGCATTCATTCCGCGGGGAGAAGTGCGGGTCGGGTTCTGTATCTAACTGTATGTTTTCCATACAACTGCATGGATCTGGGTCGTCTTCATTCGGTGCACAAGGGTCCGTTTGTAATTGTATAGTTTCCATACAACTCCATGGATCGGGGTCATCTTCATTAGGTGGAGATGGATATGATCCGGAGTCCATCGGTTGATCCCGGGTTAGTGTTTCCAGGGTTGTCGAATAATCGGTTGTGGAATCGTCAGTTGTCGAATGGTCGGTTGTCGAATGGTGGGTTACGGCACCGTCGTTTGGGGTAAAAAAATCCGAGGAACTAATGCAAGTAGTCGGGTCCCGCTCCAAGTCGCGCGCAAACTGCTCCACGAGTATGTGCAAATAGTCGTCTTTGACGTTGTCCCATGCGGCCGCTTCACATTCGTTGAGCACTTCTAGATGTAGCTCGATAATCGTGCGGCGATTCACGTGTGGCGGGCGTTGTCCGCGGCGTTCGGCAGCAGATGCAGGCCGCCTATCCCTAATCATGGTGTACCCGTAATCGTGTGGCGGTAGTTCGCCGCGTTGTAAATGCTCCAATATTTCTTCGTCTAGTGGCGGTGACGGCACGTCACGAACGGTTCGATATGTTCGTCGTCGTTTGGCGAGGTGCGCAAAGTACTAAGCAGAAAAAGGGGGGTAAAGAGGAGGGTGAGGACGGTAGGATAAAAGGAATGAACACGGCTGTAGCAGTACATTTGTGTTAGAACGATCATATATTGAAGCCGGTTGGGATGTGCTGAGGTATAAACATCCTGCGCATGCG